CACTTCCAATGACATATGTACCCCACTTCCACTGACACATGTATCTCACTTCCACTGTCAGATGTACCCCACTTCCACTGACATATGTACCCAACTTCTATTATAGATGTACCACACTTCTACTGACAAATGTACCACACTTCCACCAACAGATGTAACCTACTTCCACTGACAGATGTACCCCACTTCCATTGACATATGTACCACACTTCTACTAACAAATGAACTCCACTTCCACCGGCAGATATACCCTACTTCCACTGACAGATGTACCCCACTTTTCCACTGACAGATGTATCCCACTTCCACCGACAGATGTACCCCACCCCCACTGACAGATGTACCCCACTTCTACTGACAGATGTATCCCACTTCCATCGACAGATGTACCCCACCCTCACTGACAGATGTACCCCACTTCTCCTGACAGATGTAACCTACTTCCACTGACAGATGTACCTTACTTCCACTGACAGATGTACTCCACTTCTACTGACAGACGTACCTTACTTCCACTAACAGATGTACCCCACTTCCACTGACATATGTACCCCACTTTTACTGACAGATGCACCTTACTTCCACTGACATATGTACCCCACTTCCACTGACATATGTACCACACTTCCACCGGCAGATATACCCTACTTCCACTGACAGATGTACCCCACTTTTTCACTGACAGATGTATCCCACTTCCACCGACAGATGTACCCCACCCCCACTGACAGATGTACCCACTTCTACTGACAGATGTATCCCACTTCCACCGACAGATGTACCCCACTTCTCCTGACAGATGTACTCCACTTCCACCGGCAGATATACCCTACTTCCACTGACAGATGTACCCCACTTTTCCACTGACAGATGTAACCCACTTCCACCGACAGATGTACCCCATCCCCACTGACAGATGTACCCCACTTCTACTGACAGATGTACCCTACTTCCACTGACAGATGTATCCAACTTCTATTGATAATTAACAGTTGCTTAGCATTACTTAACATTGTCATTACTCTGAACGATTAGATAATCGTAATTTTGTTTAACTATACTAAAACCTCTTTTAACAGATTTTTAAAAAGTGTTGTTAAAATGTGTTATATTTCGAAATTCTTTGTGTTTTCAATATATGAAACAAGATAGTACGACCCTTTTCACCCCCTATTATTTTAATTGGGTCGTCCTTGAAAATATATTGTTGGCTCAAAAATCATAGATGTAAATTCTCTTAAATTACTTGAGTCATCAGAAGAGGGATAACAAATTATAGACAAATTACATAAATTACGTTCAAACTTAAAAAGGTTCGTTGTGCCATTTTTAAAGCAATTCTCTATGAAT